AATAGAAGTACTTATATTTCTAATTAAACTATTCTGTTTAAAAAAATAATTCAATACTGCTTTAAAAACTATTAGAACTGCAATTACCCTCTTTCAGTAATTTTAACCTTTTATGCATAGATATCCATATCGCAACATAAATCCGTGTGCGCACAGACATTGGCGAACACCCTTGGCTGATGTGACGCATACCTCACTGCACAACGGTTTTTTTGAGGTACAGACGCTATTGTGTGCTGTTAAAAAATAAAAGAATGAATGAATGAATGAATGAATGAACGAACGAACGAACGAACGAACGAATGAAATAAATAAATAAAAATAATGGGTTAGGAGGTTAAACCGTAAACCCCAGAAATAATAAAATATATAATAAATTGATGTTGAAATAAAAAATTGAAAAAATGAGTACTTAGTAAATTAAATGAAAATTATTAAAGTTAATGCTTGTTGGTCAAAGGTGAGTCTAAAGATGAATAAATAATGTGTAAATTTAAAACCAATATATTAGCATAGAACATATATACATATATATATAAACATATATTTATATGTATATATATATACATTATATATATATGTATATTATATATATATATATGCAAATTTCATTGAAATTGTTTGCCCATTTTGCATTAATTAACTTCTTTATAAGACATTCAACGAGGCGGTATTGTTTGAGTTCATATTTATCTAAAACTGGAATAAAGCTAACAGCGCTGTTTCGGCGTAATGCCATCTTCAGAGCCTAAATATTGTTTAAACATATAATTTAATTAAAGTAAATGCCTAATGTAAAATGTGAAAATATAGAAAATAAAATATGTATTAAATTGTGAAATAAATTAACCTTGTTGTAAATATCATAATAACTAAAGTTTATGTAGATTATATAAATAAAATAATGTAATTTAAATAAAATGTTTAGTAAAATAATTAAAATATAGAAATTTTATAAAAGTTTTAACATGGTTGAGAAACGTTAGTGAAAACTAATTACGAATGACATGTGCGCCAGATATATAATATTGCTGTGTATGCGTTGTGAATACAACTATTGCGGTTGAATATGTGTGATACGAGTTTCCACATCAGACCTACGGATACATAGTTAAATATAAATACATATATGTACATG